CACACACACACACACACACACACACACACACACACACACACACACACGATGCCCTTTTTAGCTTGGTCTTTCCTCGCCAGGAAAATGTCTGAACATTGTTTTATAAACATTTTAGGCAGTATGACACAGTCATAAATACATTTTCTGGTGAGACTCAGTGCACACATACATCTATTGACAATCACACAAGTGTTTCAAGACACGGCTTATAATAAAGCTGCCCAGAAGAGGGCACTGGTGGCAAAGCCAGGCCTGAGATTTCTTCTCCTTGCTGGAATTCTTGGAGGATTTTAGCTGCAGATCTAGATTCTTTAGAAGGTTATGACATTCATTTGGTCACTAATGACTAGCCCTTAAAAGCAGGCGCAGCACAGCACAATAGAAACTATCAGAATGCGCCAAATGTCACAAAGGTAAGCACGTGCTGTGAAACACTGGCTTAATGGCCCACAGATGTGTATCTGGGGGTCGCCTTGTGAAACGTCTTAGGACTGTGGGTGACATCCACAGAAGTTTGAGACACATTGTTTCAGAAGCTTTTCTGGCTTTTTTCACCCTCAAAGCCCCATACTTTATTTGTGACTCACAACAGGCCTCTGAGGCAGGCAGGGCATATGTCGTTTCAATTTTGTAGAAAGAGAAACTGAGGCATGGGGTTTTCCCCAGGGGGAAATGCCTGGGTCCCATGGGCTTGCACGCAGACACTTGAAAATGGGCCCTCTGGAGGGATGGGCAGGCCAGCGGCAGGTGTGCCTGCTCCTGGGATGGACACTTGTCCAGGGGTTTAGAGAAACTCCCACTTCTCTATTATTTTCTGAGCTGGAGGGCAGGCATGTCAAGAACCTGGCATGCTGGGGGGCTGTGCCGCCTGCTGGGAGCCACTGTCCCACTCTGGAAGAGCAGCACTGTTAAGCGTGGCCAGGCACCATGCAGGGTGTGTCCTCAGCCCCACCGGGGAATCCCAGAGCTGCTCATGCAGACAGGGAGGAGCTTCACGGGGGCCCAGGGCGGGAACGAAGCACTCACTGACCCGTCCCAACATGTCAGTCCGTTCAGTTCCTGAGAGGACTTTAGAGTGAGGAAGGAGTAGCCTTGCAGGCTTTTGAAGACAGGAAAGGTGTGGCTGGAGGTGGTGGGAGGGGGCACCAGGCTCCCCACTGTGGGGGTGTGGGGAGAGCGGCAGCCAGGCCAGCACAGCATGCAGCTTCCTGGGGTCCGGTGCTTTCTGCTCAGGAACTGGATGGGAGAGTAGCAGAAGCGCCTCCTTTTCCCCAGCATAGAAAGAGGAATCCAGTGAGTAAGGAAAAGCATGGAAAGAGTCCCAACCAGCGACTCCTGACAAATTCCTGAGCCACCCTGTGCCTTCGTGTCCCCATCAGCAAAGTGGGGGGGGTGGGGGTGACCGGCCTTCTCCTTTTCTGACTCAGCAAAACACAGACAATGTAAGACCAGGAGAAACACCTGAAGTCCGTTAGGAGATAATATTCTGTAAGTTGATTTTTAGAGAATACAAACGCACGCCTGACTGCCTACCCTAGAAATCAGGAAGAGCATGTATTTTAACCTTTTTTGGTTATTCTAGAGTGCTTGGTGCACCAGGCACTCTGCTAGGTCCTTAAGAATCCGGTCTTCATCCTCAAGGAAATTCCACAAACTAGGAATCTAAGAGGGTCTCAGGAGAGGAAGATAACATGGAGAGTTGCTCACTACCCCCAGAGTGGTACAACCCCCAGGGGTACAGGCGTTCAGCGAAAGTTGAGGGCAGGGTGACCTTAACTGGTACCATGCACAAGGTGAAACGGAAGCTGGGTCTGCAAGAGTGGGGGTGATTTGCGTAAGAACAAAATATAATAGGGAGGCCTTACCTAGCTGGGAATAAGAGCAAGGCTAGAAGGCATAAATACTGCAGTCTACACTCAACCAGCATTCCTGCACGTCTATAAATTATCCAAGTCTCTGTGCTTTGCCACGAGCAGGCATGGAGTGACCCTCAGAGGTGTGGGGTGGCACCAGGGACCAGCGAGTCAGTGGTCTCATCTGGGAATGAGGTTGGAATGCAACGGTGCTTCTTGGACTCCAGGCTGACCCAGCAGGGATTGTGAATCAAGATTTCAATAAAAATAGAACAGACTAAAGTGGACTAGGACTCACCAGGGTGCAATGTGTGCACCGAGGGTAACCAAAGGCTATGAGGTTTCATTCCATCAGCATGATGGGAAGGTGTCGAATCTACTTCTCATTGAGTCTCCATCAAAGGCCTGGAAGCCATAGACTAGATGCCCCCTGAGGACCCTCACAGCCCTGCTCTTCACCTGCTGAGTGACTGTAGAGTGGTTGTAGGCAGCTGCTTATGTGCTCTTGCTGAAGAGGGGGTGGCAGGGCAGGGAGAAATCGGGGGGTAGGGATAAGTTTGGGCTAAAGTTAAGAGTCACTGGGGAAAACAGCATCAGCTCTTGCAAACACGGGAGCCAAGGACATTCCCCAAAAGAACTTCATGGGCCTAGGATTCTTTCTGCTTTCTCAACACCTTTGACCCCAGAGTGCCTTCACTGCCCCAAGTCAGAACTGCAGGCTCATGAGACAGGCTGTGGGTGAGGAGCTGGCAACTCCCACTGAGCAGGCCTGGAAGACGCCAGGGGCAGGCCAGAACTTCTTGGGGTGGCAATTCCCCAAACCTGTCTGTAAGCACAAAGCGGGCATCCCTTCACTAAGGATCAAAGTGCTTTCCGGGGGTGCAGCTGTCCCTGTGGGTGGCCACTTCTCAGCCTCCAGGAACAAGCCCCAAGAGCTCTCTGTTCCAGGCTGTCCTACCAGGATGACGAAAATCGGCAACTGACGCTCCCAGAGGAGGACAAGAGGGACATCCGGCAATCCCCAAAGAGGGGTTTCCTCCGCTCTGCCTCACTAGGTAAATGCACCCCTCGCTCTCCAGATGTGGCCGGTGGTAACTCCCAAGAGAACGCCGGTCAGGTACTCAGGGATGACTGAGAAACCATTGTGGCCTGCCTCAAACCAGCCCCACACAGTGGGGGGATTTCCAAAGCAAGGAGACAACAATCCAAAGGCAGGGTGTGCTGGGATGAGCCCTGGAAAAGCAAGGAGACAACAATCCAAAGGCAGGGGTGTGCTGGGATGAGCCCTGGAAAGATGCTTCAGAACACGTCTCAGACCAGGGGAGGGAGAGGAGGGGTGTCTCGGGCCATAGTTACTGGGCTCCTGGCACCCCACCAGGGTAAACTGTCACAGGCCAGCGTCCTGGTTTTCCTGCCCTGATCGTGGCTCTCTGGGTTGGCTTAAGGGCCTCCTTCCACCTGGAATGTCTGGAAGCGACAGAAGGACCGAGGGGGAGACATCTCTTGAAGACAGTCCTGCCCTTGCATCTGGTTCATCATCAGGTAGCTCACTTCTTTGGACAGGCCACTGTCTCCTGCTAGCAGGCCAGATAGTCCCAGGGGTGATGGACAAATCCTGAAGACCTCTGTGTGGGTCTTGTCTGTCTCAGATGGCTGGCACGTCCTGCCCCTGCCCCAAACAGCCATCCCTGTAAGGCTTTGCACTCCTGCAGGTGAGAGTCGCAGCAAGGTCTGCAGCATCGTGGTGGGGCCTAGGAAGTGCTGGTCTCAGGAGCTCTTTGTGTGATCCTGAGGACCCAGAGCTGTGGGTTCCACCTGAGCTTTCTTCTTAGGCTGCCACTGATGCCACTGACTCCCCTGACACTGGCCTATGCTGCAGAGCACTCAGGAAGATGCACTTGTACCTAGAGTTTGAACATACCTGGAAATGGTGCTGCACAAAAGTCCATCCAGTGACATAGAGAAGTGATTAAAGAACCCACCAGCAGCATGGCCATGAGTAGGGAATGACATCCAGAAAGCAGGTCCAGGGAGATTCTTCATAAGGAAATGTCTCTGGCACGCATGACTCCAGCTGGAGACAGTGAAATCCAAAGATGCCAGGACCAAACTTACTGTAGTATTCTGAGCTTCAGTGTTTACATGAGGCCAGTCTGTTATCCCAGGCAAACTGAGGCCTAAACCTGGGTTTCCCAACATTCTGACCTTTTTAAAGATATGCTCTCTTATAGCATGGACCTGTGTTTTAAATGGACTTATGCTTTGTACCCAGAGGTATTCAACTGCCAATCAAAACTCATCATCAGCATGAGCTGGCCAGTGTGGCCTGGCTGAGTTGATAGTACTTCAGCTCCACAGCAACAGGTTTTCTTAGCCTGTGTGGCGCTGACTTCACTGGGCTTCTGAAATAATGAATATGGCCTTACACTTTTCAGATTCCCAGGCACCGAGGAGCCCTCAGACTGAGGAACACAAGGCCGGGGCAGGAGGTGGAAGGATGTGGGACACTGGGGAAGCACCCTAAAAGATTTCTAGCGATTTCCACTTATCTGTGCACGAAACTCCCTTTCTCTCGTCTCTTCTCCTCCCAGGTACTCTGTGACCCTCTACAGGTGGGCTTCCCACCACGGTGTCGCTTTCCCGGGAGTGACATCCTCATCGGAGGCTCACTTGCAGACCCTCTGCCCGGGCAGGTCATCATGGCAACACAGGCAGGCCTGGGTCCCTAATTTCTCAGGATGCTCAAGAACATTCAGGGACAGAGGGTGCACCATGAATCAGTTTTTGTTTGTTTGGTTTTTTGTTTTTTGTTTTTTTTTTGAGACAGAGTTTCACTCTTGTTGCCCAGGCTGGAATGCAATGGCACGATCTCGGCTCACTGCAACCTCCACCTCCCAGGTCCAAGCCATTCTGCCTCAGCCTCCCAAGTGGCTGGGATTACAGGCATGCACCACCATGCCTGGCTAATTTTGTATTTTTAGTAGACAGGGCTACTCCATGTTGGTCAGGCTGGTCTCGAACTCCCGACCTTAGGTGATCCGCCCACCTTGACCTCCCAAAGTCCTGGGATTAAGTGCAGGCATGAGCCACCACCGCCATGAATCTTTTAACCACAATACAGCACCAGATTTAACAACGGTTCAAAGACAACCTGAGCTGAGACTGGCAGGGCGTTATGAATGGCCCCATTAACTGCCCAAGAACTAAAACCACAAATACTGGTTTTCCTAACTCTCTGTGAGGTGCACAGTGCTTCTTCGTGACCTCATTGCACTTGAACCTCACACCCGCCCCCACAGCGGGATGGATAGGAGAGCATTTGTTCTCTGGCTTTACAGACATGCGGTTTCACCCCTGCTCTCCATTCTATTGAGGACAAAACCAAGAGCAAGAGAATGCACAGCGATAGCACAGCCAGGCTAAAAGCAGGTTACCACAACTCCACCCAATCCCAAGCCTAGAAGTTATAGGAGAAGGAGATCACTTCAGACCCAGATGATCCTAAGATGTATTTTTTTGAGATGGTTGAAAGTCATGTGCCAGGTTGAGAAGGGACTGAGGAGGGGAAACAATGGCATGTCAATGCCAGGCAGGTAGAACTAGCTGGACGCGGCAGCTGCAAAGCAGTGGTTGCTCAGAAGCAGGGCCCTGCCTTGTTTGGGTTTCCACACCCTATTAACTCGAACTCCTTGTGTGTCCGCAGGCACTGGCAGGCAGGCCTGAGCCCTCCCTCCAGAGAAGCCATTCCCTGCCTCATTCTCCCCAGGCCTTTGCCACCCCCTGCCACACTCTGCAGCCGAGGTTGGCCGCCACAGCCCATCCTTACCCTGCGGCTGGAGGGCGCCGAGTCTGGGTGAGAAACTCAACAGCAGCTTTCCCGTCCATCCACTGCGGCTCCTGGTTGAGACCACCCCGTGGCGGGGACAGCAGCGCCACCCGGAGAGCCCGGCCCAAGCCCTCATGGCAGCCCAGCCAGGCTGGGGCCCTGGGAGGCAGTTCCACGGCAGTGCCAGCAGCCTGGTGGAAGGGTAGGTGACTCACAGATCGGCTGGGGGAGAGGCCACAGGCAGCAAGGGGGGCTTGGCATGCGGAGCTGAGAAGGTGGCACCTGGCTCTTGCCAATCCATTGCAGCCAGTATCTGAGCCGACAGACCTCCTCTCAGGGTTGCACGAGGGCTGGGATGCGGAAAGCCATGACTGCACAAGACGCTATGGGCTTTCTTGAGGCGAGGCCCACTGCAGAGGGCAACAGAAAGGACTGAGCAACTTATCCCGCCAGAGGCATCTGGTGCTGCAGTCACATGCAAACGTGAGCCTGGCTGCCTTTATACACAGACAGGCAAGATCCGAGGTGTTTCAGGCTCACTGCCCGTGAGAATCACCTGGGGCGCTTTGGAAACCCAGGACAGATTAACTGATGATTGTTAAAGCTCTTCAGTGATTTGAACGACAGCCAGGTTGAGAGCCACCAGTCTAGAACGAGAGCTTTATGCCACGGTGCTCTGGCCTGGTCAGAGCGTCTAGTGCCATCCTGGCACTCACATTGCCATAGAGGGACCTTGACACACTGAACAAACCCAAAAGAGGAGGACCAGGATGGCAGGTTCCTAGAAACCCTGTCCTAGAAGAACCGGTCTAGGGAGTTAGGGAAGAAGCCCTGGAGAGAGGTGACTCTGGGCGAGGCAATCCACCCCCTCTTACACCTCAAAACGGGTGGAATGGGGAAGGGTGGCAGGCTGGATGCGTTGGCCTGGCCTCCACCAGCAGGCAGATTTCGTCATGAGGAAGACCTTCCCAACAGCTCTTCCAAAATGAGAGGGGCTTGCCTGAAAAGTAGTGAGCCCCCCATCATCAGATATAACCAAGCAGAGACTCTGCTCACCTGGACATCAGGCTGTCGTGCAGGAGGTGGGGAGTTAAACCAGGTGGCTTCCAAGGTTTACCTCTCAAAGTCTGATATTCCTATGGCCTTGGTCATCCTGCATTCATTTCACAGACCTCCCAAGTGAGGGCTCACTACATGCAGGCGCTAAAGTAGGTACAAGGACACAGCTGAGAAACAGAGCTTGTCTCTATGAGCTCACATCATGGTGAGGAGAGACAGATGATAAAACACACACATATACATGTACTTGGACATCAGGAAGGTCAGAGTGCCAAAGAAAACTACAGGGCAAGGAGAGAACAAGTGGCGGCAAGGAGCAAGACAGACACAGATGCCTGGGGAGGAGAGAGGCCAGGTTGCACTCAGCTTCCCCCACCCCCTGGCTCAGGAGCCGATTTTCCCATAGCCAGGCACTAAGCAGCCGGTGGGGAGGACAGAGAAGCTTGAGGGTCACCGTTGGCCCTCTCCCAGCAGAAGCTAAGGCAGGGAGCATGCGCCGTGTTTGCACACATACCTCACCCCTAGAAAGGCGGTGGCAGGCACCGGCAGCGGTCTGTCTCAGCAGTTTCACCAGGAGAACGGTTTCTCTGAAAGAATAGTACAGTCCGGTGGGTGTGTCAGGAAGGAGAGAGGCAGGCTGGGATCTCCTGAGGTAGCCACAGGGCGGCCTCCCTGGTCCCTCTGAGAGTCAAGCCTACCATGGGTTTTGTTTTGGTTGTGTTTGAGACAGGGTCTCGCTGTGTCACCCAGGCTGGAGTGTAGTGGTGCAGTCACAGCTCCCTGCAGCTTGTCTCTCTGTCACCCAGGCTGGAGTGAGGTGGTGCAGTCACAGCTCCCTGCAGCTTGTCACTCTGTCACCCAGGCTGGAGTGAGGTGGTGCAGTCACAGCTCCCTGCAGCTTGTCACTCTGTCACCCAGGCTGGAGTGAGGTGGTGCAGTCACAGCCCCTGCAGCCTGGGGCTGCTGGGGTCAAATGATCCTCCACCTCAGCCTCTGGCCTTGCTAAGATCACAGTGTGCATCACCACGATCAGCCAATTGTTATGTTCTTTTGTAGAGACGAAGTTTCCCCGTGTTGCCTGGGCCTGGTCTCGAACTCTTGGGCTCAAGTGTCCTTCTGCCTGGGCTTCCCAAAGTGCTGGGTGACAGGTGTGAGGCACGGTGCTGGGCCATTAGCAAGTCTTTGTATTTGATGACAGTGTTTGGACCACCCCAGCCAAAACTTCTCTGGCCTGCACACTTAATTCTTTGGCCGATGCTCCATCTCTACTTGTTCCCCTCAGGGGTGCCCTCTCCCAACACACACAGGTCCACTTCCCCGAGTGACCATCAGATACCT